CAGACTGACTGGGAATCAGACAGAAGCAAACCTAAAACCAAATACCAAGTAGCCAAGAAGAGATCGGGAGGAGACTACTTTAAGGATGTTAAAAATGGACTGACTGGGAATCACGGACAGCCACATTCCTAAACAAGGAACACCCTGGGGACAAAAGCCCTTGATTCCTTCCGCAGACTATCAACATGTCAGACAACATGTCAAGATGCTGGAGAAGAATTTCTCCTCTCACGAGTGGACAGACTGCAGAAGGTCAACCTATCCTTCAATGTGAGAAAGGGCACTGACTACAAGGCTGGAAAACAGAGAAGCAGAGCTTCGAGGCCAGATCTTGGATCCCACCCAAGGCAGGGTGGGTGTGTGTCCCCTCCTACCCCACCCCGCAGGAGTAGCAGGCAAGAGTCAGGCTTGGTTTCCTCCTGGGCTAGCTGGGGCTTGGAGATCTGACGCAGGACTCTGTCCATGGAGCATGGCCCACCCTGCTAGTACAAGGATCTGCTGTTCATTCTGCTGGAATTCAAAGACCCTGTGCTTCACTGACACCAGACCAGAACCAAAGGTCACCCTGGGAATGGCTCTAACTGAAGATAAGACCTCAGATAACCTCCTGGGGGCTACTACTCTTCCTGTAACTAAGCTGTCTCTTCAAAAGTATACAGGGAAGAGCTTTTTTTTTTTTTTTGACATAGGTTCTTAAAACCAAAGTATTCTAATGGACATCTAAGATTGCTGTTGAGGGGGTGAGGACTGATTTCAGCCGGAGTTGATGGTATTTTTTAACAAGCACATATATTTGCTGGTAATACAATTACCATATTTTAAGTTAATAATCACAATTAAAATGACCTATCAGATACTATGCATTGAACTCTTCCCTGATGGATAATTCTAGAAATATAATAGAGGTCTTTGTATCCAAAAGGAAGTTGAACAAAATAAAAAAAGGTACAAGATTCAAAAAAAAAAAAAAAGGGCTGGTGAGACGGCTCAGTGGTCTAAAGCACCTACTTAGAACAAGCTTAGCAAAGCACAGGGACCACGGTTCAATATCCCAGCACCACATGCCAGCCAGCCCCGCCCCCTGGTGGGCTGAGCTGGCCACACACAGACACAAAATAAATAAATAAATAAATATTTTAAATATATATATATAGTTCCAGCCAGGTGTGGTGGCACATGCCTATCATCCCAGCACTCTGGAGGCTGAGGCAGGATTGTAAGTCTGAGCCCAGACTGGTCACTTTAGTGACTTAGGAAAAGGGCGGGTCCCTGGGTTTAATTCCCAGTACCACAAAAACAACTGACAAAATGGCTAGAGTGTATAGTTGAGTAGGTTGCAGTGTATTCCCCAGGTGTGCAGCCTTCATTGCTATCTCATTGCAGAACACGTGCATTACTCCAGAAAGAAAGCCTACACTCCCTCCTTCTCCTTCCCCACCTTAGGCACACACCAATCTATTTTCTGTCTCTATGGATTTGTCTGTTCTGCACGTTTCATATAAATACCAGCACACAGTATGTGGCCTTGTGTATCTGGCTTCAATTAGCACAGCATTTGAGATTCACCTGGGCTGCTGCCCGTGTCTATGGCTGAGTACTGTCCCAGGGAGTGGGCGCTGTCCCATGTTGGGTTTTTTCACCCATTCACTGATAGGCACTTGGGTTGCTTCCACTCTTGGGCTGTCATGTTTAGTGCTGCTGTGAGCATCCATGTACAGGTTTTTTTGAGCAGACATGTGCTTTCATTGTCTTTTGTGTGAATGTAGTTTGATGAGTGTGTTTGCAACCTAGTAGTATGGTTACTGGGTCAGAGCAACAGAGGCTGACACATCTGAGGAGCTACCACACTGCCTTCTCAGCCTACGGCACCACTGTGCAGTCCACTGGCAGCGTGAGAAGTTCTGGCTCCTCTGTACCTGGGCTAACACTTGCTTTTTATTATGGCCATGTGCTGCAGTTTGAGTGTGGTTTGTCTCTCTTCTGCAACTCAAGCTTAGGGAAAAAAATTTTGCTAGTAATTCCTCAGATGAATGACTAATATCTAAAATAAAGAACTCAAAAAAATTAGATCTCTCAAAATAAAAGACTCAATCAAAAGAATGGAAGCTAGGGATATAGCTCAGCGGCACAGTGCCTGCCTGGCAAGCGCAAGGTCTTGAGTTCGATTCTACCAAAAACAAACAAACAAACAAACAAACAAAACAAACCAGCAACTGAGATAAATAGATACTTCTCAAAAAAAGTACAAATGGCCAATAAATACATGGAAAATGATCAATATCTCTGTGTATTAAAGAAACACAAATAAAAGCAACAGTGAGATTCTATCTTACTCCAGAATGACATCAACTAATAACAAATAGTGGGGAGGCTGTGAGGAAAAAGGAATCCTTCCTGTATTGTTGGTGGGAGTGTAAACTAGTAGGACTACTATGGGAATCAGTATAGTGATGCCAAAAACAAAAAGAAAGGGAACAAGAAATTTCCTTACACCCAGCCATTTCCCTTCTAGGTATTTGCCCAAAAGAGTTAAGGACATCACACTACAGTGGTACATGCATATCCACGTTTATAGCAGCACGATTCTTGAAGTTATATCTTGGAGACAGCCTAGAACATGTCATCAACAAAGAAATGGACTTAAAGTGTGGTATTTATGCACAGTGGGGTATTATGCTGTGATAAAGAAGGATAAGTTTGAGTCATTTGTAGTAAATTGAATGCAACTTGAGACCATAATGTTAAGTGAAATAAATCAGACTCATAAGAATAAGTACCATACACACAAAAGAGTAAGTATAACAGTTTCTCTGATGTAAGGGATAATAGGAGTCTGCCTGGCAAGCACAAGGTCTTTTTTTTTTTTTAATTTTCTTTTATTTATGTGTGTGTGTGTGTGTGTGTGTGTGTGTGTGGCCAGCTCAGCCCAC